TTATATAGCCTTTTTATAAAATATGTTGTCACCAATCTAAATGCCCTAAAAATATTTCTCTAAGACCCAGATCTTAGAGATATGTTGGTTCCTGGGTATGAGTATAAGTAAATGAGTTAAAGTTTCTTAAAGTGCTTCTTTATCATTCCTCTCCCCATCCTTCCCCTCCAAGACAGGGCCACTGCTTGTTTAGAAATTATTGGAAAAATCCCAATAAAGATTTTCTTTTTTTCCACCCAGGCTTCCAAGTCTCCAAATAAGCAGAATAGTATGAACAAAGTTATACTGATAACATTACAGTGTGCCTAAAATAACTAAATACCTTTATAGAGAGGAATAAAAGAGTATTTAATATATTACAACTTTCCCCAGATTTCCATTTTCCCCTGAAGAAAAGCCTCTCCCAGCCTCCATGGCTTCACACTTTCTTGGAACATGCTATTCCCCAGGCCTTCCAAGCAATCAGTGGGGCCTCTCCTCAGGCTAAGTTGATGGTTACATCCCTGGTCTTAAGCCTTCTGATTCAGGGCTCCTAAATCTGCAGCTGTCAAGGGAAACTTACCCTAGAATTAACCCTAAAGGGCAAATTCCTTGCTGGGTGGCTCTAGACTGCCTGAACCAGACTAACTCCCAAACTAGCCTAACTAGAGTTGAATTCCCAGAGACTCCATAAGCTTTCAAGAATACAAGCAGAAGGCCTGCTTTGTTCAGAGATAAGCACACCCTTGTGTCTTTTGAAAGTGAGAATTTAAAAACACTTAGAACAGCGTTTCTCTAGAAGAAAGGAAATAAATGACTTCTGAATAATTCATGAACTAATAATAAAAAAATTCTGAAATTCTAAGAATTTTTTTCTATAGATTTTAGCCATGAGAGCCTAAAATCTAGCTCTGGTGCCAATCCTTGAGCCAACTTTAGCTGCATATACATTTAAAACAAACAGAAAGGCAAACATAAAGCAGGTTGATAAACTTCTTTTAAGCAGCATGGTATAATGGAAAGGCAAAGTCAAGAAACTTCAGTTCTGGTCCTGGTACAGCCACTCTAGCTGGGTCACTTGGGCGACCCATTCAATCTTCTAGGGCTCGTTTACTTCACTGATAAAGACAGGGTTGGGGAGGCTGGTCTAGATGTCTCATAGAGCCCTTGTAGTTCCAAAAAAAGAGTCGTCATTCCAAATTCTACTCAGTTCTGCAAAATGCCCCTCTATGAGGCAATCCGTCACAATAATTGCACCACACATTATTCACCTATGTTAAAGAGTTGATGTCTTATTAAGAATAAACACTAAAAATAAAAGCATGAATCTTCTCTTAGGTACCAAAAAAAAAAAAAAAGGAATAGAAATAAACTAAGAAGAGACTTTTGCTTCACCATTTCTACAGAATATGGACTGCTTTACATTTTGTACTCAAAAGTTTCAAATTCTCTCCCTTAACCAGGAAACTGAAACAAATAACAATCACCACGAAGAAATCCCACAGTCCAGGGCTGTCTCTGAGAGGGAGCCTTGTGCCAAGTGCATACAAAAACTGTTGGCTCTTCTGCTTGCAGGCCCCCCAACACCACAGGAAAGGGACTCAGGTGTCCCACCCTGGTCTGCCAGATCTTGAAGGGACAGCTGACTCATCACACAGCCCTACTATGGAATATTCCACATCAAGGGAAAAGAAGGGGTAGGCTAAATGGGGAAAATGATTTGGATACAATTTAAGTGAAAAGAGCAGGACACAAAAACTATATAATCACTATGGCCACAACTATATAAGGTTAGTTGATGAAAAGAAAATACAACAAAATTTTAATAGTGATTGTGTCCTAGTAGTGGTGGAATTATTTTCCCCTTTTTTCTACTGAGATTTTCTATATTTTCACACAGAAAATATTTTTAAATTGACTCCTGAAGAAAAAATTTAAGCGAATTTCATTCTAATTTACAGGATTCCTTTTTAGCTCAGCACTTAGTTAATAATTGGTCTTCCTCATTGCTTTCCCATTTTTTGTCTAGAATTTTTCCTATGTCAGAATTAAAAATATTTTTGGCTACCAGCATAAGTCTGTTTCTAAGTATCTTGGGTAAAGAATTTAGAAATCAAACTGGCAGAAATTGAGTCATTTTGTAGGATGTGCATTTCTACCAAAAGAGGACTTTGGACTTGCTTTAGCAAGTTCCCAAACTTTTCCTGGGAACGCAACACTTAGGTTCAAGTTCTCCACCTTCCCCTATATTCCTTAACGATCAGCACACTTTTCTGTAAAGGGCTAGACAGTAAACATCTCTGGCTTTGTAGGCCACATGGGTCTCTGTCACAGCCACTCAACTCTGTCACAGCAGCCATAGATGTAAATGAATGAGCATGGGTGTGCTCCAAGAGAATTTTTTTACAAAAACAGGCAAGGGCCAGATTTGGCCTGTGTGTAGTTGTGTGCCAACCTGTGGTATACAGCACACTAGAGAACATCCATGGAGGTTGGAGAGAGAAAAGACCAAAGGACTGCTTTCTCCTTCACAGCGAATGGCCATTAAACCTTGTTTTGATAGCCATACCAATCTATAAGAATTCTCTGAAAATGGTGTTAACTAACGAATTTTCCCCCAAAAGCTAATGAATTGGTTCCTCAAATATAGTTCTCAACCACTGTACTGAGATAGACATCGTTGTAGAATGTGTCACAATTAATTTACTATTAATAATACAGTACTGGCTTTCAAATGATTTTTTTTAAAAACGTTTTTAAAAGGGTAGATCAATCTTTTCCCTACAGCCAGCCCGGACTTGCACATAATCCTGGGTGTGTCTGCAATAGCAAAGGGCTCATTCATACACTGTCAAGCCCATGGATGGCCCATCAGGAGGAATTTGAGAGACCACTGAGTCCAGCCATCTCCACTTACAGATAACAAACCCACTCTGCAGTTAACAACTCAAACATGTCAGGTTTGCACAGTCTGGACAGTTACAGTCTTATGAATATTCACCAAAACATACATGAAGTCAAACAAGAGAAAATAAGAGCCAACAAGGGCAAGAGGAAGTGTGACAAGGCCTCCTACAACTGAACTGGATAATTTGCACTGACAGATACTCTTCTTTTTATAAACTTTCATTGCGGTTCATCATAGAGAAATCTGAAAATGTACTAAAAGAAAAAAAAAGCCTCAATACAGTCATGGGGCAGTAACTACTGTTATCATTTTAGTTCCTTTCCTTTCAAATCCTTTTCCTGTATGTATTAGAAAAAAAGATGTTTTTAATAAAATGTAACTTTCTTCATGAAATATTGTTACAAGCCCTTCCCCTATATTGTTGACTATGGCCCAAAAATATAATTTGCAATGTCTGCATTGTAAGTCCACCAAATGGATGGACCATAATTTATTTAAATTTCTCCCCCATTGTTAGATATTTAGAAGTCATTTTCTATATTATCTTAAGAGCTGAAAATAATCCTGTGGAAGCTTATAAAACTATTTAAATATAATATATTCTGTTTCTGTATTTGACAGCAGGTATATTCCCTAAAACAGAGTATTACTCTTGAGGACCTTCAGATCAAGGCACATCAGATTACACATTAGTGACCATGGGAAAAGGCATGCGCCCCAGGAGCAGGCACAGGGACACTGGACCCACATATTGGAAAATTGGCTATCGTGTCCTTGAACTTCTTTAGTAAAGGCAGATCAGGTAGTAGAGTCAACCAACATGACACCTGGGGCCTAAGTGAGATGGTATCTCAAGATGAGCTTGACTGCACCCAACAAAGGAAAATTGTTTTAACTCGACTGCTGTCATTAAAATTATGTAAGAAAAAGGATGATGAAAGTGTGTGACAGATGTTTCATTTATAGCACATAGTAAATTTGTGGGATATTCCCTTTGAAATAGAATGTCAATTGATTTGTCTTTCTCCTATAGGCATCCAGAGAAGGGTTCTCTGCGGAGTGTTTTCTCGGAAGGCATGATGGGTAGAATGTTATAACCAAGATGCCAGCCAGCCTACTCTCAGCAACAGCACAAATTGCTTCCAAAAGTGGCCAGCTATGAAACCTCTAGAGCCTTTGGCAGCAGAATCCAAATCTATTTCCCTTAATCTACCTGCCAATCAGAAAATTAAAACAAATTAATAATCTAGTTCATATAATTTATAACACTGCAACCCTCCCTCTTAGAATGAACTGACTGCTCTTAAGCAAGCCAAAGGAAGACGAATATAAAATGACTCAGTGGAGGGAGGGAGTTTACAACTGCCCTCTTGAGTTACACATATAAAACAGTTCCAGTTCAGATCCTCGTTTCCAAACTGAAAGATAGGAGGTAAAAGGTATGTGTATTCAATAAAATATATAAAATACAGGAAAATTAAGTCTGAGCCAGTGAATATAATACAATAATGTTATTCTTTTACTTAAAGATGAGGAAAGGAACATTTCTGATTAAAATCCATATCTAACATTGAATTTACCTATGGAATTTTTAGAAAGAGACTACTTTACAAACCCAACTTTCCCAGTTACTTGACAGATAATGCACATTTTAAATGGAAAAACAAAAACAATCACAAGTGGTAAGAACAACTTTTTCCACCACACCCTCCCCCGCTTTTGTATTTCTCTGACAAAGAGATGAGCATGGACAAGACACAACTCTTCTTTTTGTGTCTACCCCACAAGAACTTCGGATATGCAAACGGAAAGGGCAAGGACTAAATGCCTCTCAGTACCTCTAGAAACATGTACATGTGTCAAATGCGGAAATTAATCACTGTCATCTGTTTCTCAGAACCTTGAAAAGAGCTGGAATCAGTGCCTAGGACAACAGCCCTGGGTGGCCAGCAAACCCATGAAATAAGCACTCAACTGTCAAATGCCTCGGAGTTCACAGTCACAGCTCTTGGTCACAAACAATTCCTACAGGCCTGTATCAAAGAGGGTGTTTTTCAAAGCCAAAGTCAAGTTTATTGTAAAGTATTGGTAAGCACACAGCAGGCACACTTACCTTACCAGAGCATCTGGTTTGCTCAGCTGGTTATTTGGAATACAGTTTTCCATTAAGTCCTTGTGTGTACTCGGGCTCTTGCTAGTGCATTTCTGTTTCTTCTCATTTTTACTAGATGAGGAAGGAATGCTCCCATTTGTGGTGCTGTGACTTCGAGGTGAGGAATTCACAACTCCACTAGCATTTTTGTAATTTTTTGAGGAAGCAGTACATGAGTCCTCTTTCAAGAGATTTTCTGTACTTCCCACAAGATCATTATTCAATCTTTTACTATTGATATGGTTTTCCATATACTCAATTTCTTGTATTTTAGAGTCTACAGGTTGTAGTATATTGTTGTTATTTATTCCAAGGTTGTGTTTTTTAGCATCCTTGTCCTTTTCTTTCCCTTTTTCTCGGTATTCTATCTCTGGCAAAGTTGTTGAGAGTTTTTTGTTGGCTGGGATACCTCCGTTGTGGTGTATAAGGATCGAGGAATCCATATCAGGCAATCCTTTGGCTGCTACAATACCAAAAACAAACCAACAAACAAAAAAACCCACACTGGAATATTAGTTGTATAAAAACACAGAATAGATTGATTCAACAAACTGCATGACCTACGTTTAGAAACTCACTACATTAATTTGCAAACTAATTGAGAAGAAATAACCACACCACATTATGCTAACTTCAAGAATTAAATCCTAATAAATTTGAGAAGTTGCACATATAGAAAATTGTCATTATTTATCAATACCAAGACATGAAAGTTTTGGCCTTGAAAATAAGATGAGGATTTTATAATTGAGTCTTCATTTATCAGTCAAATTGAACTTATCTATCACTGGGGTGACAGGACACAGGTCATGCTCCTAAGAGGCCATATTTTAAAAGATGCTTGGGTCAAACAAACTGTTAATAACTTTACTAAAAAGAAAGAGATTAAATGAAACAAAAGAAAAGGTGTGCTATTAGGATATAGGACATCTATCCTTTTTCTTGATGCTAGTGTTGAAGAAATAAAAAGTGTATCATTTACTAGGCCACTTGTGAAGAATTTTCTGCATCAGGTCTACACATTCTGATTTGTCAGTCTGCTTGAAGAGTTATGTTTGCACCACACCAGAGAATAAGATTTTGGCATATATGAGCTAAAAGCATGACCCCAAACTTCCAACTCTCAAACCAAACAAAATTGGTATTGCTGTCAATGCATCTCCCGGATTGGTTATATGCTCATCAGACAGAACCTATTAGAAAAGGTTCAATTCTGTATGTCTACATCTCTCTCCTGCTTATACTATACTTTAGTTCTTGGCTTGCTTCAATTATAAACTCACATAGTTAAATGTACTATTTTGCTACTGAGAATAAATATTTTAAACTATTTATAACAAAGTATTAAAATATAAGCTATAAAAAAATATAAAAACAGTAAAATACAATAAACCTATTTAAAATCACATGATCTTAAGAAACTAAGTAGAAAACATCACCCACACTATATTTCATGACCATAAAAAGCAATGGCTCTGAAGAGTACCACCAGAAAACAGGAAAATCCTGGGTAATGTTCCAAAGTCCTAGCTACTTTTCTGGGGGAAAAAGAATTCTGACAGACAAAATAATGACTAATAATGACTAACCCACTGAGTGACCACTTTGGTGTAAAAACCTACCTTCCTCAGCTTCTTTTTCTTGCTTCTGTAGCATCTGTTGCTCTGGGGGCAGGGCTTGTTGAAGAAGCTGCATGTAAAATTCGTTCTCTTTTTGCACTTCCTTTTGCTTCCTTAACCGCATTTTGTAGCTTACATAACTTTTGAAGCCAAAGCCCAAAGTTACCACAGGGTACCCAATACTAGAAAGAAGACAATCCAGCCAGTAATTGCAAGTTAAAAACAAACACCAAAGGCATCAAGTGTATGAGGACACCTGTGACTGAAATTAAGAAATTCTAGATGATGATGGGAGTTGAACATTCAGTAAACACATAAATAAATGTGACATCTGCTGTGGAAGTCAAAGGCAGTCGGCATGTAAAACAAACCCCTGGGGATAGCAGGACTGCTAGTCCACAAGAGGCTGCCCATCAGACCTCGGCATTTTAACTCCAAAGTTACCACAGTGACTACTGGATGCAGTAGCTAATTTAATGTCTTTGATTAATGTTGAGCTGTTTTGTGCATTATTAGAACTTGGACATCTGCATGCTTTTAAGAACTAACAGGATAGAAGTTCAACCATTGTGGAAAGCATATATATGGAGGTTCCTCAAAAAACTAAAAATAGAAATACCATTTGACACAGGAATTCCACTCCTAGGAATTTACCCAAAGAAAACAAGATCTCTGATTCAAAAAGACATATGCACCCCTATGTTTACTGTGGCACTATTTACAATAGCCAAGATATGGAAGCAACCTAAGTGTACATCAGTAGATGAATGGAAAAAGAAGAGGTGGTACATATACACAATGGAATATTACTCAGCCATAAGAAGAAAACAAATCCTCCCATTTGCAACAACATGGATGGAGCTAGAGGGGATTATGCTCAGTGAAATAAGCCTGGTGGAGAAAGACAAGTATCAAATGATTTCACTCATTTGTGGAGTATAACAACAAAGCAAAACTGAAGGAACAAAACAGCAGCAGACTCACAGACTCCAAGAAGGGACTAGCAGTTACCAAAGGGAAAGGGATTGAGGAGGGTGGATGGGGCAGGAGGGAGAAGGGGATTAAGGGGCATTATAATTAGCACACAGAATATAGGTAGGTCACAGGGAAGGCAGTACAGCACAGAGAAGACAAGTAGTGATTCTATAGGATCTTACTACACTGATGGACAGTGACTGCAATGGGGTGGGGTAGGGGGGACTTCATAATATGCGTGAATGTTGAAACCACAATGTTGCTCACGTGAAACTCTCATAAAATATTGTATATCAATGATACCTTAATAAAAAAATATATCAAAAGGACTTCATTTGGACATGATATTGTACATAAAAAACCCTAAAAACTCCACTCCAAAACTATTAGAGCTAATATCGGAATTCAGCAAAGTTGCAGGATACAAAATTAACACACAGAAATCTGTGGCTTTCCTATACACTAACAATGAACTAATAGAAAGAGAAATCAGGAAGACAATTCCATTCACAATAGCATCAAAAAGAATAAAATACCTAGGAATAAACCTAACCAAGGAAGTGAAAGACCTATACCCTGAAAACTGTAAGACACTCTTAAGAGAAATTAAAGAGG